ACAGACAGACAGACAGACAGACACACCCTTTATATATACTGGCTGAATTGACTAAGGAAATGGGTGGGATATAGCTTCATACTAGAATATGCATCTTAATCTAGAAGAGAAAAAAACTAAGTGTATGTTGCAAAGAAGCCAGCTAACTGCAAACAGCCCGGACCTAAAAGCCATAAAGCAGCAAGGAAACCTCTGCAATGCATCTTAGGGATGTGCAGATGACCTTTATGCTCAGTCCCACCGCGCAGCCTCAGAGGCCCCTCTGGCTACCACTGGAGAAGGAGAGATCCCCGAGTTGGTCACTGCTACAAAATACTAATTAATTGAGCTTGCCACTCTGAATACCCTTGCTTAAGAGAGCGACAAGTAAAGATTCTTATTGTAAAAAAAACCTAGTTTTTGTTATGCCTTTCTATGGGATAACAGGATTAGTTATTAATTGTTCTTTTCTTTAAAACTGTTATATCGAAGGATGTTTATTTTGTTTAATACTGCAATGAACCTATGTTTTCAACGATGGAAGGGGCAGATTAAAATATAACATAATTAAACAGCAGAGTATTGTGGGGTCATTAACATATTTTCATAAAGAGCATATGGCATGATAATAAATGAAAACAGTAGGATGACTAATGTGTGGGTAATACTGACTGATGATATAATTTAAAAGTCAAGGATGTTGGACACATTCTATGGTTTCCATAATTATTATAAATTTTCACTTTAAACCTAGAAAACAGTATAATTATATACAGTTGAAGTGATATTGCCACTTTATATTTTTAATAATAAAGTTGATCCTTTAAATCAGAGACGGGCACACTTTTTCTGAAAAGAGCCAGATTGTTAATATTTTAGGCCTTATGGGCCACCTATGTCTCTAGCACATATTCTTCTTTGTTTTTGTTTTGTTCGTTTTGTTTTCACAATCCTTGGAAAATCTAAAAACCATTCTTAATTCGCAAGCCTCATAAAACGAGCCCTGGGATGGGTTTGGCAAGAACCCCTGCTTTAGATGGTTTCATTTTCTCTGTTTACTTTGGCTATTTTATTGTGCAGAGTTTGTGAAATAGTTCCATGTTTGATACGTAAGACACACGCTTTCCCCAAATCACTTCATAATAGCTGTACCAATTTAAACTAGCCCTTTTTTGGAGTTAATTTATTCGCTTCTGTAAAGAAAGCTGAAATATAAATAGGTCATATGATCACATAGAGCCATACTGTCCAACATGGTAACCACTAGCCTCATGTGGCTAATTAAGGTAACATCAATTAAAATAAAATCAAAGCAATGCCTCCATCCCATCGGCACTGCACTGGACAGAGCAGATAAAGAAGGTTTCACCCTGGACAGTTCCATAGGACAACAACATTAGAGAAAAAAATAATATAATACCCTAGGACTCAACCCTATGGTACATCAACTCTCCTTCAGAAAATGACATTTATAGAGGAGAAATGAGGGCAGGTAAAGGAAACAATGATGGGAGGTAGAGTCGAAAGGACCCAGAAAAGCAGCTGAAAGTTGAATAATTTCCCCAGGTTCAAAAAACAAATCTACCACATCCTGGCTGTGTGATCCTGGGTAAATTAATCCACTTCTCGGTAGCATCTACTTCCTCAACTGCAAAGCAAACATCACAGTACCTACCTGGTGCGGGTTTCAAGAGGAATAAACAAGGCTGCACATGTGAAAATGTGTAGTGGCATTAATACTTTTAGGAGATATGTGCACACACATATACATTGGCCCCAATGGGACAATTTTCATAAATTCAGAAAGAACTACTTCTTGCCAGTGTGGTTAGATTCTGGCTTCTTGGGGGCACAGAAATATACCTTGCATTTAATTAACGCCAGAACTGTCCTTGATGATTACACTCTGGTTGGGAGAAATAACTGGCTGTCCCAGCCTCCTGAATGTCAGAAACCTCAGGTTTGTCATCTCGTTCCATATTTGCCTGCTGGTAACCCTTGCCCCACCGAGAGGAGTTTGGTGTGTCTCACTCAGCCTCACGCTTAGCGAATTGAGAAGCTGGATTTTGGCCTGGTGATGAGGATTCTCCTCTGTCTCTCAGCCTCTTGACAGCCGTGAGCCTGGTACCTCTGCTTCCCTCCCTACTCCCTTCTCCTGCTGGTCCCCAAAACACCCACATTTCCCTGCAGGGCCCCCAGACTCACTTCTGAGCACTGACCCTACAGAGGACTCATTTGGCAGTTCTGGGAATTTCACAGGACTTACACACGTATAAAATAGGTGACAAAGTCTTGGCTGTGGCTGAGAGACTCTCTGAGGAGGGGCAAACCATCTGGGACAACCTGGTGGAATCAGCTGGAGCTTTAATTCTTCCACCTGCTCTGGGAACTGGGACAGGGATGGGGCACTCTCCACCCTGGAGCATCCATCCCAGGCAGAGGAAACTTTGGTTCTTCCATATCAACACTGTGATCTACTTTCCATATTAATTTTTGGTCTCCTTCCAACAGCAAATGACAGCTGTACTTACATATGTCAACGTGCCCCCACTTCTTAAAAGACATTTTTTATTACTGTTCACCCCCCAACCTAGTTAAACGGGGGAGAACCCCATTCTTCTCTCTCCTCCTCCTCATTGAAATCATACAGCAAAAGACAGAACAGCTTTGCAAACAAGTCACTAGCTGCAGGCTAGTTATATTTTCAATAGCGAGACAGTTGTGCCCAAGACTAGCCACCAAGCATCTTTGGCTAGGCTAGGGTTGCCTTTTGGATGGCCTGCATGGATTATTTAAATTATTTTTAAATTAATTTGCAAAGCTATGATAAAAGGCTATAGCTGTAGCTTTCCACCCTCCCACCACCCTTCCATCAACCCCACGCCCACAATCCTGACAGGTCTAACGAGGAATGGCTAGGACATCTGGGAAGTGAGGATTCAGACGTGAATGGTCATGAGCAGAGGGTTTCAGATGCTAAGGCAACAGGGAAACAGAGACATGCTTATGGACGTCAACTTCACCTCGTAGAGGGCCACAAGCGAGGGTGGGGTGGAGGGAGGGGAAGAGAACTTACATGGCAGGGAAGGTGACTGGACTCAGGTTTATGTCACAAAACAAAAAGAGCCACGACAGTGGGCTTACTTGCGGAAGTATATACAAGTGAACTGGGGGCACTGTACATGGAGGATCCCTCCTGGTTTGCCTGGCACAACAGGACCGTGCCTACGAAAGAGAGAGAGAGACGGTATCTGGTTTGGGAACAGGCACACTACACCTGAGTGATCACGCGAACGAGAAAGGCAGAGAAATGAAAACACAGCCACATTCCCGAGCGCACGACGGGGACACCCGAGGAAGCCCCCTGCCTTAGCCGAGGGAATCAGGGGAAGCCCACCCCCCGGCCCACCAAGCACATGTCATGACTTTCACGTGGGGTTGAGTAGCGGAGGCTGGCTGCCCCAGGGCCCGGATTCAGATCAGGAACAGAAGCAGCATGGCACACTGAAAAGGGAACTTGGGGAACGTCAGAGAGAACTAGATAGTATGCCTGACTCAACACCACTTTGCTGTGTGATCTTGGGAAGTCGCTGTACCTCTCTGTGCCTCAGCATTGTCATCTGGAAAACAGGGGTAAATATACCTACCTCCAAAAAGGGTTGTGAATTGTATGGCTGGAGATGCCCCCAAGGCAGGGGCTGGCACATAATAACCACTCCATGGAGAGCATATGCACTGACAGGTTAAGAGAAAATGTTTCCTCCCCTGTACTTTTAGTCTTTCCAAATTTGTTCTTCAGAGGAAGAACAGAAGGCAGGGAAGAGATAAATGCAACTTTTGCCATCCCTGGGACCCACCCTGGACCCACGCTGGGTTCAACAGCCTTTGGCTTCTGCGCTTCTGGTTTCTTCCCGAAAGCTCTCCGCCTTCCAGCTGCAGAGGTTGCTTAACTAGCCCTGCAGACTGCGGCTGCCTGGCAGTGATGACTCCTCTGGATCTAAAGCAGAGGGCACTGGGCTCATCCTTGCAATGTGGAATTTTACAGTGGCAAGTAACAGTGAAGTCCTGAGATCCCTCCTCAATCTGTGACACGTTTTGAATCACCACCCGCTCCAGGGATGACCAGGATCAGGAACCTTCAGGGTATCAATTCTACCCCCCTGCTGCCACAAAACTCAAACTCAAGGGCTTTGAAAAGGACCAGAGAGACTTTGGAGGACTTTGAAGCCCATTACCAGTGATGGAAATGTCTCCCTGCAGTTTCTGGTCACTTCCCTGGCTGGGAAAGGTCATCCCCCCGCCATTGCCACCACTGGAAAGCAATCACCCATGAAACGAAGCATGACTTGCAAGTGCACCCCCAGGAACAGGAACGGCAAACTTTTCTACGTCCTTGCAGACTTGCCCTAGGGCATAATTCCACTGTCCTTTTGTATCCTCCACAAGATCGACTGAAGTGTGGCTGAAACTTCAAAAGTGAGTGGGGTTCCAGCAAATAGAGGGACTACACTGTGACACGACTCTACCGATGTCCTCTCCTGACCTGCACTCCACCCTCAGGTACTGAGCCAAACAGATGGATCACGTGAGGAGGTCTGAAAAGCCTTCCCCAAATTCCTCTTCCACCCTCTGTTCCCTGTGCTTTTCTAGATTAGTACTTTATTTGCAGGTAAAACAAAGATTCTATTAAAATTCCTAACCCATCTCACCCTTCCCCTATCATCAGGTCTGACAACTCTACTCTTCTACAAGAAAAAGTCATTCACGGACAGACTTCTACCTGAAGGAACGGTCCCTGGTCCTTCTCACATTTGCTCTAGTATCCCAAGCTCATAGCTGGAGAAGAGCCACCCAACCCTAAAATATCCCCGGACTAAGGGTGAAATTAATGGACCTTCTCTTGGTAGTAAACACATTAAGAGTCTAGATGGGCCTCCGTCAGGATCAACCTTTGCTAAACTGATAGTTCTTTTTCTTCTTCACTTAAAAACAGTTTATCACAACATATAAGATGAGCCTTGACATGGTCTAATTTCTCCGGAGTAGGTATTTCCAGTTTTAGCAGGTAACTGGCATAGTAATGGAGATTAATAGCAAACAAACCAAAGCCTAGATGACAGAGGCTGGGATCTAAAACCAACCAATGGGAGGCAAGCTACCCCACAAAAGATACGCAGTACCCCCTGCAATGAGTACTCTTTATCACTAAGTACTCATGTGACTCTGTAGAGGTCATCTGCATGCTTTTGCTCATTGCTAGAAATCTTAGAGAGAAATTAATATTCCTATAGAATATGCAGAGAACTACCAAGTCAGCGTCTTGTAGGGTGGGACCCCGGCAGGTGGATTTTGAGACAGCCCTCCAACTGTTCTCTCCTGCCCACCCCTGGTTAAAAAACATGTTTGAAATAAGATCTGAAGTTTCTTGGGGTACTTACGTTTCAAAGGAAAAAAATATCTAACTGTAGCAAAAACACATCCAGAAGGACATTTCAGTATTGTACAGTTAAAACCCTTGGGCCAATTTTCAATATCTTCAATGCAATTTATGGAATTCCACTGGGACACAACACAGATTCCATCTAGAAAGCTAAACTCTGGCAGGGCATAATGAAGCTTCCCTAATTTTTCTTATCCTGTGGATCCTAAGAAACTGAAGGAACTCATTTGGATGCTTTCTTATAGCAAAACAAAAAAGAAAAAAAATCTTTATGCAATGATTTTGACCTTTGTAAAACAAAATCTATGCCTTTACAGGACTTGGTTTTTATTTTCCCTAAAAACATCCTTCAATTTAATTTGTAAATACTTACTGTGCATTCCCTTAGTACTTTGTGACCTTTTCTTAAAAGGAAGCTTTGAATTCAACAAAAGCATACAATACTATAACCTCTACGCTTTTTGGGGGCATGGACAGGTAATGTGGGTTTCTTCTAAAAAGTCAGTCAAATAGATAATAGGGTAAATACAGCAGTATGAAGAGTACTTGCAAGGTCAGTCAAAGCACTTCCCAATACAGCATCAACATAGCTTTTCAATGAGTCCCCTGAATTGGGTCTTCTGTCTTCCCCCAGCCCCCCACATAGACCACCCAGCTCAAACTACCATGAACTATCATCTGTAACCATGGTGACATCCTGCACTTCTTAGACTTCTATATCTTTGCTTATTAAATGCCTTAAAATTTAAGGATGGCAAGTAGGTTCAATTGATACCAGTCTCTACTCATCCCTTAGCCAGGGTAGACATTATCAATTTCAATATGATCCTTTCTTATTGGCCTGGAATCCTCAGAATCATTCTCAACACAGCTACTAGGCAATTACTATCATTTGTTAGAGTAGGTGAAGGGGATGAAACCTCCCTCCCATTCCTGCTCTTAGTGTTAGGTTAAACCATATGAAATGGACATTTTTATGTCAAATAGGGTTGAATACTGGCAATTTTATGTGGTTCAACTTAAAAAAAAAAAAAAGTGGCTTCCCCTATCTCCCTTCTGTACGGTTTGAAAGTGACCTCCTCTCCCCCAAGTCCCCAGGTTAGAATTAATTACTCTCTCGTATGCTCCTATCATACATTTAAAAAACGTCTCCCTGGTAGATCCTTTGTCATGCTGTATTACAATTTTCTATTTACATATTGGTCTTCTTAGCTACACAAGCTCCCTGGGGCAGAGCCAAATCATACTCATCTTTTTATCCTCAGCACCTGGCAAAATACCTGGTCCTTGGAGGGATTAATGAATAGTATTGAATTATAATACATCTTTAAAGAACTCTCCCTTTCTATTTTCTTTGCTAAAGATAGTGCTTGAATTTCCAACCAACCCTTCTTGAGGGTGCCTCCTTCTGCGTGCTGTTTCCAGCTGGAAGGATGCATGCCGAAAGTTCACATATATTTACAAGCTACCTCTAAGATAGTCACTCTGTTGTCTCGTTTCCTGGTTCTTTTAAGGTTGACTCATCCACTTTAACATGAAACCTGGGCGGCCTAGCGATCCATTTCCTGGACTGCTGATGACTCTATCAGCAACTGGCAGAGACCGGGCTCCACGTGGCAGACCTCAATCTCGAAATAATCAAAGCCTCTCCCAAAGCCTGACAGACTCACTTGCTTACAGTGCAACAATCACCCACATCCCACATTCTGGCAAGATGTCCACACAGCCACTCTCAAGCAGGATCTGGAATCCTCCAGCTGGGAAAGAGGAAACTTGGGTCAGTGTCTTAGATGGAGCAGCAAAACCCTTTCTGCCTCACCTGGAGACTCCCTGCAGTGTAGGGGATCATTTCTGGCCCCTGAAGGCACAGGGAGAAGCTAGAAGGGACATTCCTTATCACAGATAGGAAGGAGGAAGTGTCTAACTTTTCTACTCTGCTCCCAACCCTGAGGAAATTGGACTCAAACGAACAATGGTGCAGGTTCACACCTCCGTGCCTTTGCACTGGCTGTTTGTTCTCCCGGAAGCCCTTTTCCCTCACCCTGGACAACTCCCTTTTGGACTCGGCTCTGGTTTTTCCTTCTCCCAGAACCTGGGGGTCTATTTCTCTCCACCTGACCAGTCAGCTTCCTTCCTCTGCTTCTCTAGATTATGTTGTAATAATCTATTTAATCTATGTCTTCCCCACTGAAGCGACTGATTGCAAGAGGTTGGGAATCATATCTTCCTGATCTTCCCATCCCCATGGTTCCAGGAGGGCTAAGAGGCAGGAAGCAGCAGGAGAGAGAAATGAGAGGGTTTCTGACAGGCAGCTGAGTCACCCTTTCAAGAAAGAAAATTAGAATGGAGGACGGGAAGGAGGAATAGAGAGAGTGTTTCGCATGTCTGCCCCTTCTGTTTTAGTATCAGATGGGTACAGGTGAAGCTGGCACACTGGTGAAGAGCTAAGCTCTTTCCTGCATAATTTCTGGATTCGAAAAAAAGAAAAAAAAGGCAAAGGAACATTCCAATTGCCTGCCAAGTTGGAGTGGCCGATTTGTTTCATTAGTCCCAAGATTACAATGGACTAGGAAAATCGGAGAAGGATGCTCTCATCTCTATGAAAATGCGAAAAACAAACAAAGACAGAAAGAACAATAACAAAACTTGACAAAGTATCTAAAATCCAATGGAGATTCTGGGGCACCTATTTGGGAAGGTTCTGTGTGTGGCATGTGTTGTTTGTACCCCTACACACCTCTACTCTGTGCTGGCCCTGCGTCACATGAAAACGGAGCTCTCTGCT